ATTCGGAATTTTTATAACTGGAAAATATCGATGAGAATGTAATTTCGTTTCTTCCCTTTTTCTCCTCTAACGAATCGAATTGCTTGATTTGACAGATTGTTGCTTTATTATGAATTAATTAGATCTAACCTTACTTCTTACTTCTTGAAATTAAAGATTTTAAAAATTCCATTATATCTTGAAAAATAAAATACGTTAGATTCTAACAAAAATAATATTGAAGAGAATAAAATGCTATTCAAAATTGCATACAGTCATTATCCGCGAGAGGAGTTCGAGTATGTGATAAATAAATACTTATCGCATTGCAATGGTGATGGCGAACGTATCGAGCTTCCTCTTAACGAGCTTCTTTAAGATCCTTTGTAAATCCCTTTGACCGAATGGTGATACGAATCGGCTTAGCTCGTCGCGTGTGTTCAACACTTTATTAGTTCGTAACAGTTAAGAGAACGTTGAATTCCGTAAGCAGTTTACATTTAATGAACGGTCCTTGAACACGCCACCGTCTCATTTCTTCTTCCTTTCACGAACGCCTAATGAAACGTTCTCCTGATGCATTGTTGCTGGTCGATTCGTTTTTCTCTTTCAGCAACTAATTAACAAACGATCTCCGTCTCTTTCTTTATCGAGAATAATTATCTTGATCGTTATATTTACGATCGCGCGGGATATGAAAACGATATTGATGGAAAAAGATCGCGTATTTTCACGTGATCAACTAGATAAAACGTATTGTTATAATTACATCGCAAAAGTTTGTGAGAAAAATCCATGAAATATGTATAAATCGTAATATGAAATATTCGTTATGATAATTTTGTTTCGATTCCATTTGCAATGTAATTGCAGGATGTGACGGTTGAATGGGACGACATTAGCGCTACGTGGTTATTAACTGTACTAATATCCAGTACGTTATAACATATTGTTACAATTAGATTGCAGATACAATTTGTTTGCATTTAAGTATACAACATATAAAATATTTGAAGTTGGATATTCGTTACGATAATTGGATGAATTTCAATTTCAAAAGCGTTCCATCTTCAAAAGCATAACGAAAAAAAACGCAGGGACTCATAAACACGTATAAATTATCATGTAATGAAGAACACTTGACACCACACTCGTGTTCATTTGCATAAGATTATTTATCAATGCAAAATAACGAACACGCGGAATCTCCACGAATATTCTATTTTTTTTCCCATCCAATGCACGCCCACCTAATTTCGTTTCACTGTATACGTCGCGATTGTCAAATCTGCCCTCTCTCTCTATCTATCTCTTTCTCTCTCTTATTCTGCGCGACATCTTTTTTCCATCTCTCTTACCGGTGTCCGCTTCGAAAGAGAGTCGAAACAGTTTCGACGAAATTGCTGCCGCTGACCGAGGAGGATCTGCCTTTAGAATGGCTACACCACCCGGAACACGGGATTGTGAACTCTAACCAACGATTCCTCTTTCCCTCTAACCGTTAACCACGATGGCTGAACGAGTTCGACTTCATCGGTCCCTTCGAGCTAAGGATTGTCTTGGATATATATATATATATATATATATATCCAGGCGAGACTTCGACCACAAGAAAAAATCACTGGTCCGGGAGATGAGACGAGACTGGATTAAGCCGTTCCACTATTGGGGACTTGTGATTTTGGAGTCCTTTCGATGATAGTTGTCTCGATAGTTTTGTTTCGACGGAAGAAAGAAGTGGATATGTCGGTTTGTTTTGAATTTTTTGTTTGTTCCGAATGAATGAAGTTTGATTGGGACCTGTGGAACATATTTTTGCGGAAGATTTTTAATAAGATGATTTGAATTCAATCTGAAGTGAAATTAGTGCGATATTTTATCTGTGTGTTTAATTTTAATATAAATATTTAATTTTCTTTTATAAATATATTTGTGAATTTTGACAGATGGTGGAATGATAATTAAATTAGAATAATTAAATTAAAATTAAATATTCCAAAATTAATTTTCTAATTCAATTTCAGTCAAAAATTTTCAGATTATTAACTATATTATCTATGATTTAAAGATAATAATTAATTATCTTTGTTATTCAATAACAATATGACAATAAGATACTTTTTTATGAAATTACTAAAATTTAACAATAAGAATTAAAAATAGAATATTCTTATTTAATTTTCAAAATGATTTTAATATCTTAAACGACAAAAATATATTTGAATTTAATTTGATAGAATAGATGCAATGATAGATAATTTCTATTATTTATTTACTCTATATAAAAATTGAAAAAGAAAAAAGCTATTACACGTATTCTTTCAATCGTTTTCTCTGGATTGAATTTGGCTCAGGAATGGCCGCCTCTCGAGCTAACCGTTAGTCACAAAAGCTACAAGAGTGGAGATTGTGGGGCCGATGAAGCGAAGCTGCGCGCGTACGAAGTCGTGGTAAAATGGCTGCACACTCGTGCACAAATGTGTTCGTGCGTCCATGAAACAAGTCGCGGCCGTGACTCGTCATAGGGCCACTCCACTCCGCCATGGCGGAGTCAACAAGTGACTTTATGAAATGTTGCTACATTCACAAGTTATACTGTCTATGAAAATATTTGTCCGATACAATCGTAAAATCTATCGAGAGAAAAATATTTTTTATTTACTTGAAATAATGTGAGAAATTTAATTCTGATATTATCTCTGAATTTACTATTGCCTTCGAAATATTCGTTCGATATTATCACATTCGATCGATGTATTCAATACAATATCCCACATGAAATCAATCAGTGAAATTGATAAAGAAAAAATATTTTTGATAGCTTAGAATGATTTAAGAAATAAAATTTTGATATTGTTTTTGAATTTGTTATTGCCTTCGAAATATTCGTTCGATACGATCGTATACGATCAATGTATTCGAAATAATATCCGACATGAAATCAATCAGTGAAAATGATAGAAAAAAAAGTTTTTAGTGATTTGGAATAATTTAGAAATAGAATTTTGACATTATTTTTGAATTTGTTATTGTCTTTGAAATTCGATTGAAATACGATTTGAAATACGAACATATAGAATCGATCGATAAAAAAAAAGATTGAACGAAGAAAAAATTTATAATTTTATATAAATACAAATTAATTTATAATATCCGATAATTATAACAAATAATATCTTTTTGATTCCTCAATTTATCAAAAATTAAACAAAAATTATCAACAAAATTATAATTTATCAAAAAAAAATAAAGAATCTAAAAAAATTTAACAATTAAGCACTCACAAAAATCTCCAAATCATTAAATTTTCATTAAGTAAAAAACTTCTTCTTACGATATCTTGTTCTAACGATAAAGATACAGCCAAATAGAGATTTCCAGAAATTCATTTCAAGTATCTAAGTTTTATTGAGTTTTGATCAAGAATTACGAAAGAAAACGATAAAATATTCGACACATTACCGCTTGTTATCGCCATTATCGCGATCCATGTCGATCCGTGCAGTGCATTCGGGTGCACGATACGACGCTCTTAATTAATTTTGCAATATTCTCGAGTCGAGTATCGACCAGGTTTTACGAGCGGTTCCACGACCATCAAACTTTTCCCTTTAGAGAGTAAGGATTCACGAGGCAATTAGCGTTAATGGTTATCGATAATGCGTACGAAATCGTTCCATCACTCTCGCTTTAATATCATCGTGCCGATATTTTTTTCCATCGACGATAAATTAACCGTGAATTAACGATCACAAATACATTGTGATAAAATATGCACTCGACTAAAGAATTTCTTAGTCGGTGTTCAATGAAAATAGTTTATTATATTGTTTTTTGTGAAATTGATAATTTCAAATAAGTATTCGTGAGGAAGATATGAATTTTGAAATTTAGAGATTAATTAAGTAAATAATTTAAGATAATTCGATTATAAATAATTCGACTAATAAATATTTTCAAAATAAAACTCGAGTTTTTAGATTTTTTACTATTTTTAGAATTGTAATTTAAATAAATAAGTTATTAAAGAATTTCAGTTTTTATAAACATTCTTTACAATTTAATAATATAATATATAATATTTATAAGATTAGAAAGATTATAGAGAAAATTTCTTTAGAAAATACATAAATTTAACTTGAAAATAAATCTTAAGAAAATATCCTAGCAAATATTGCGTGGAAAAAAACATCGTTGTAAAAATAAAACGATATCATCTTCAAAAATCATCGAGGAAACTTTTGAAAAACAAGATTTCTAGTTTCCAATGGCAGATCAAATTGCATAAAGTTAGTTCCGCTTTCTATCATGACAAATCTCGTCTGATATTCAAAGAGCACATCCGCCGGTGAAGAATTTATCACGAAAGTAAAAATATGAATAAATACCAATATTCCTCACAATCGAAAACAATTTTCGAAGATTTTAGTTTAAAATATATTGATATTCTAACATTACAAATAGAAAAAAAATTACCAAGATTCAAAATCTAATATGATGGGAATTTTATTTATCTCAAATATCTATTCTTCTTTTCAACAGTATTTCTTATAAATAAATACTATACTTTTTAAAGTTATAAATTAATTTTCAACACAGTAACATTCAAATACTCAATTTTTTGAATTCTCAAATTCTTAACCTCAAAAATAAAAATAAGAAAAACAGAGAAAATGACACTCGATAAACTTTCTATCCCTTACGAAATATTATTCTTAACATTTCTTATAAATAAACGCTACTTCTTCAATGATAAAATTAACTCTAAATAAAATAATTTTTCTCTCAACTATTTTCCCTTCAAATATCTGCACATACAAAAGAAAAATAATATTCGTCGATATACATTCAAAACCTTCGACATTTCTCACGACATTTCTCAAATATTACTTTCAACGATATTTAACTACAAAAGTAAATACATCATTAAAACTATCTCTCAACAAAACAATTCACAAGTTGCTCACAATTTTTCTATCAAATTCCTAACCTCAAAAGTAACGAGAAAAAAAAGCACTCACCGGAATCCGATCGATCCAATATCAATTCCTTTAAGATTCACGAACATCTCTTCGCCGTAATCCATCGCAAAAGCATCGAATGATGTTTTATAACTCGCAACAACGATTTCTCTCGACGAACAGCGTAGAAAGAAGCCTTAGAGCGTAGACGAAAGCGTTTGTCGGGCAAACTTGGTATACGTAGTAGCAGAAGCGGCGCTCGAGTGATGTTTCCAACGTACACACGCGAGCAAAAAGAACATATAAACTAGATACACGTAATACACACATCCGAGTTGCGAGAGCTAGAGCGTGACCCCTCGAGCCGAGGCGAGCAACGACAACACGGTGTCACGCGTGTGTCGGATGTGGAACTAGAAATAATTGCGACCCGCAGCTGCCTCCACGCTTCTTCTTCCCGCTTCAATTTCCCAGCGACCGTTGTGTAAGCGGTTTAATTAAATCGAGGCTCTTGAAACGTCTCTCTCTCTCTCTTTCCCTCTCTTTCCGCGCTGCAATTCTGTAATTGCGATTTTCTGGTGGAAATTGCGTCATTGCAGTTTTTTCTTATCGAGAATATTTGGACGATAATGGTGGTTTTTAGTTAATTTAAACGGTGATAGTTGGATAATAAAATTTGAAACTGTATTATCGTATTTCTTCTTGTTGGAGAGTTGCTTGAATGAATAATGATGATTTATAGTTGGAATTTAAATGATGTAATTCGGTGGCTTGAAGATGTTATATTATATATTTTTATGGAGAGATTGTGGATGATGATGAGAATGGTTTGATGAAGATTATTTAAATTATATGGTTGATGTGATGTAATTTAATAATTGATATTGAATTTTGAAGTGTATTTTTTTATATGTGAAAACTTTTTGAAGGATGGTGATAATTTTAATTAATTTAAATAATGTAATTTGATAATTGGATGATAGTTTGAAACTATATTCTTGTATTTCTTCTTGAAGAGAATTGTTTGGATGGATAATGATGTTTAATTAAATGATATAGTTTAATAAATAAATAATTTGAAGTATTGTATTTTGTTTTGTATTGTATTGTATTTTGTATTTTTGTGAAATATCTATAGATGATGATGAGAATGATTGATGGAAGTTATTTAAATGATGCAATTAATATGCTGTAATTTATTAGAATTGATTATTTTTGAATTGTTATTTTATTTTTTTGAATGGAAAGTTTTTAAAGGATAATAATGATGACTTAACTGATTTGATAAATTATACAAATGGTAATAAATATAATTAGAATAGTAGTTAGAATAAATTTAGAGACACAAAGAGGAAAATGTAGAATCAATAAATCATTAATGATATTTATAGATGACATCTATATTGATAATTTATATATCTCCTTTTATTAACTATCACAAAATTGTTAAACATATACTTACATGCACAAAAGTTAATTTATAACAATTTTAATACAAAAAAATTAATTATTACAAGTTTCTTAACATTTAATATAAATTAATAGAATAATTTATAATAGTATCAATCTCAAATTTTAAAATTTACTTTTTGATTCAGAGGTAGCTTGGAAAAATTGTACATAATAAATAATACTATATAAAAAATTAATAGAAGCTGAACATGAAACATAAATGTTCACGTCACAACTTTCGCGAAATTTTCCACTAAAGAAGCAAACATCGTGTACAATACAATTTTTGAAAAAAATTAGAACGAAACAAAGATGTCGACCATATACATCCTATACAAACTTCCACATAAATAATCCATTTCCACTTTCAATTTCCAAATATTAGACAGAAGTAAGACGATTTCAAATAGAAACTGCAACAACAATCCAATCACATCAAGACTCACATTCACAATTCAATTTTCACCAGAGAGAATTACAAATCACGATTACGAATACGGAGATGACGTCCGCGTGTTTCGTAGACAAACTTCAAACTGACGGAAGCAAGGCATGACACACAAACCCGGCCTAAACCCTGTCACAGGGAGTCTCGCCATAAAAGAGAGGACAGAGACGAGAGACGGAGTCAAGGTCCGGCTCGAGGGGGCTGATTACCCCTTTACGAGGAACCAAGGTCTCGGGACGAGTTAGGTGGATGGATAGATAGTTACGAGGGAGAAACCTTGCTTCCTCCTCCTCGAGTAACGCGTAATAACGCGGCAAGCTCGTTTCTTTCACCCCCTTGCCCCTCTCAATTGCTACCTGACTAAGAAAAAAAAAAAAGAAAAAAAAAAGGGAAGAGGAGCGTAGGCTTGGCAGTTAACCCTTGAGGTTTTAAGGTTCGAAGGACGGTGAGGAGGAGGATTGCGTGTACGGAAGGAAGGGTTGGCGTTTCGACACGGTGGTGGCCTTCGGCTGGCCGGAGGCTGTAAAACGTACAAAACAACCCTTTTTTTTAACGCTGTGATGGACAATCCATCACTCGCGACCTTGGCCTCTGTTCTTTGCGCCGTTGAGGATTTTTTTTTTTTTTTTTTCTTCCTTTTTTCCCCCGTTTCTCTGGGATATTTCTTTCGAGGTCACGATTTTCGAGGATAACAAAATATCGTTGATTACCATAAGATCTTGCATTCTGTAAGGATAAGAATTTTTTATTTTTATCTGTGATTGTTGTGTTATAGTTAATTTAAACAAGTGTAAGAGTTTATTAATTTTTCTTTTTATTTTTATTTTAATTATCTTCTTCGATTTTTATTTGTCAATTAACAATAAGTAATTGTATTTTTTTTTTTTTTTGATATTTTGAATTAAAAATATTATTGCTCTGTTACACTAACAAAAACGAAAAATTATAACAACTATATTTAAAATATAATAATTTAAATAAGAGTTTATTAATTTTTCTTTTTAATATTTTAATTATGTTCTTCGATTTTTATTTGTCAATTAACAATAAGTAATTGTATTTTTTTTTTTTTGATATTTTGAATTAAAAATTACATATTATTGCTCTGTTACACTAACAAAAAATTATAATATTTAAAATACATATAATTTTTATATTATAATATAATCAAACAATTAACCCATTTCACTGCCTTTACTTGAGAAAAATTATACATATACCTAAAGAAGAAGTAAAAAAAAAAAAAAAATTGCATTCTAATTTAAAACATTTCGTTATAAACGCGGCATAATTATAATTGTAACCTTATTAGCAACGCTCATATCTTTGAAGCGGGGCGTAAATTCGTGGAAACAAACGCGGGGAACCGCGATAGGTCGGGGAAACTTGTTTCCAGAGTTCGCAAATTACGATATCGATAAGCGAACGGCCATTTTTGTTGGGGTTCTTCGCGAGACGGCCCCACTATTCCCTCGAAAATATCGCTTAGGTAGCTTCCTGTGGCGGTTGAATGAAGAAAAAAAAAAAAAAAAGAAAAAAGAAAAAAGAAAGAAAGAAAGAAACGAGAAGAAGAAAAAAAGAAGAGGGATAACCTTTTCCAAAATTCAACCGTGGATGATGCTAGCGCGTATATATAAAGATTAAATTATGCAACGTCGAATGACTTTATTGTACGACGTCCAACATGGCGAATTTCTTTGCCGCTCTCTCTTTCTCTCTCGTTCTCGCTCTCTCTCTCTCTCTCTCCTCCGATTCTGTTACGTGTTATTCGTTCCAATTTGCATGAGCATTGAGAATGATCGTAACTTAGGCTTGTTAGATACGTGTTGCGTCCTTGAGGTTGCGTTTGAGCTGCGCTCGCTACAAGGTCACAATGCATAGCTGCTTAAAAGCAAGTAGATACCCTTTTTTTTTTTTTTTTTTTTACCTGAAATTCTGCCGAGGTAACGAGTTGGGAAAAGAGGAGAGAATTTTTCGAGAACTGGGAGCAGTTGAAGAGAACGAACGACGGTGGACGAATCGTGAGGGGAAAAAATTTCTTTTCGATCGTAAAAGAATCGTGTTGAATAGAATTTTGTGTGTATAGTTGGAATATATCAGTCCAGTGATATTCGAGGGATTTTTAAGTATAAATCGTATAGGTAAAAATTATATGGATTTTCCTTTGAAAAAATATTTCGACGAAACAAAAATTTAATCAATAAGCTATTATATATGTATTTTTTCATTATATATATTCTAAAGATGAATTTCTTTATAGAACGATGCATGAAGATTTTTTATGATTATTTTTATCATTTACGATATCTATATCGATTGTATAAGGATTATAAATAATGAAGGGTAAGTGCAAAATTATCGCGTATCAAAAAATATAAAAAAAAAAATCTGTTAATTTATGCTTTCCTTGAACTGGTCTTCGTTCAAATTTATTCGAGATGCAATAGTGTTATTCTTGAAATCTTGAAATGCTGTATTCTATCTACGTAAATATTTTCTTTCCTTCGAAATACCAAGAGAAATATATCTCACGAATTCTATTCTATTTTTCGCATATCGATCACGATTTAGAGCAAATGCACACGTGTTGCGCATATTCTTTTCTTATTGTCCCGCTGTAACGCTATCATTATTATCAAAATTTCTCAGAAACATCGTCAAATCAGCAGCTAAACTAAATTCAAGATTAAATTTATACTGTATTGGAAGGAAAATTTCTAAAATTCTCAAAAATAATTTCCAAAAATTACCAACCAAATTACCAATTTATTAAATATAATTTCAAATTTGACCATGAAGCTTAAAAAATAGTTACGCATCTCAAAACCAACCAATATATAATTCTAAATCCTTCAAAAAAATTCCGATCAACTAAATTTCAATTTCGATTGCTTCAATCATTAAAACAAAAGCTCAAACTTATCGAAAAAAAAAAAAAATTCTCCCAAAATATTTTATCGAATCGCCATTATAAATTCATCCGCCAATCATTGCGCTTCTCTTTTCAAACTTCTCCCAACTTCGCCTAACTTAACCTTACCTAATCTTCGCACTAATATTTCCTCGTTCGTCGAAATATTCTTCCCTCCAAATTACATTTCACGAACGATGTTGCCAAACTCTCGTTTGCGTTTCGAACAAGGAGGCGAGAGAGGGCGCAGAGAGCTCGAGTTTCGAGCGACGGCCATCGCGAGATGCCAGAAAACGATTTTCCTCGATGCGTGGAACACGGATCGAGGTTGACTTTCGAACGTGTTCCGTTTCACGCGATGATTTATGGCCGGTTGATAGTTCGTGCGCGCGGTCGCCGGTTTTATGCGAACGTTTTAAATGGGAGATAAACATAAAGAGGCCTTTTACGACACCA